TTTCCATATTTTTCTTGGATTTTCATTTTCTTGGTATGTTGTGAAGTGTTAATTTTCTTTGAGATTGCCTTATAGTCCATTAACTTTTCTGTCCATTTAGTGCAGTCTATTTTATCTGGTAATCTGCCTGACCTCACCTTCTGGATCTCTGTTCCTATGTGTTTACTGTCTTTTACATTGTAATTGTTTTAGTCATAGACTGACCTCCCAGATTCTCTGAATTTATTCTTATAGTTTTGTTCTTTTCTCGACTCTTCCTTCTGTCGATTTAATTCTGGAAGGTGCTGCCACGTCTGTCAGTCTCTGGTTATTGTCTGTTCTTGTTGGTTCTCAGTCCACAGAACTCCCTTTAGGATGTTTTGTAGCGCAGGGTTGGCTTTGGCAAATTCCCTCAGCTTCTGTTTATCCTGGAATGTTTGGATTACCCCGTTGTATTTGCTGGATAAAGGATTCTTGGTTGGCAGTTTTTTTCTTTCAGGGTTATATATATGTCTCCCCATTGCCTTCTTGCTTGCATGGTTTCTGCTGAGAGATCTGAATTTAATTTGACTTGCTTGCCTCTGTATGTAACACTTATGTTTTCCTTAGCTGCTTTCAGATGTGTTTCCTTATCTTTGATTTTGGAGAGCTTGATTATATGTCTTGGTGATTTTCTGTTGGGGCCTATCCTTTCTGGGGTTCGTTGAGCTTCTTGAATGTTTATCTTTTCACTTTTCAGGATGTTAGATAATTTTTCTTCCAGCAGTTCTTCACCTATTTCCTCTGTGGACTTGTGTAATTCTTCTTGTTCTGGAATGCCAATAATTCTTGAAGTTATTCCTTTTCATGTTTTCCAACATGAATCTTAAACCTTCGTCAGATTTTTTTATCCTTTTCTCTGTTTGCTCTTCTTTCTTAGTGGTATTGAGAGATTTGTCTTCCACATCACTGGTTCTGCCTTCCATCTCTTCTATCCTACTCCTTTGCCCTTTCAGAGTATTGTCTATTCCTAATATTCTATTATTGATCATTTGGACCTCTTTCTATAGGTTTCAAATTGTTTCCAATGCTGTATCTATCTTATTTGATTGTTACTGTAGCGCTCTCCTGACTTCTTCCGTATTTTTCTCAACTCCATTGTAAAGTGTTTTGAAACTTTTAAAAATAATTTTTCTGAATGCCTTCTCAAGCATTTCCACGGCCTGCACTCCTTCCAGAATGGAGTCCAGGTCTACCTCTAGGTCATTTGTCTCAGGCATTTTATCTTGTTTCTGAACATGTGCTGATATGGTCATCTGTGTTTGCTTCTTTCACATGTTTAGTGTCTACCTGTGACCTTAATACTTAATTGAGTGTGTGTTTTGGTATTTTTTATGATTTCTGATTGCTTCCAGGTAGATGTGATCTGGATGTGGGCTTCCCTTTTCGCTCTTTTTATTGTTTAACTCAGAGTAACTTTCACAGGTGTCGTCTGCCTCCCTGGTATATGGCAGTTGATATTGGTTCTTGCCTGTGTTTTGGTGTTTTATAGAGTGTGGTTGTAGCTTGATTATATGGCAGCAACTGCTGTCTCTTCTTGGGTAATATAGGGAGAGAAAGAATCCCCCAAAGTTAGAAAGGGTAGCATAAATCAGCAAAACAGCACTAGAAAAAAAAAAAGGGAAAAAATATACCAAAAAAAGCAACAACAACAACAAAAAGACAAAACTAGACTGAATCCTGTAGTCTATAATTGCAGAAAAGGGAGAGGAGACAGACAGAGAGAGAGAGAGAGAGAGAGAGAGAGATTGAGAGAGAGAGAGAGGGAGAAATAGTAGCCTAATATATGAGTTTAATGTCCTCTCTTCAGCTTCTTGCCTTTAAAGCTGCATGAGAGATTTCAAGATGCCACTGTTGGCTGTTATGCTGTACCTCAGAATTTAATTTAACTTTTAGCCTCTTTTGTTTTTAAACTCGGTTTCCCTCTCTACACCCCTGTCCTGGCCTTTCCCATCTTAAAAAAACAACAACAAAAGAAACAGTCCAGGGCCTGCTCTTAGGCTTAGAGTATCTGTGCACATGCATGGCAGAAGAACCCACAAGTGGTGAGGGTGGGGGATGTCCCCTCGCTCAGGCACTCCCTCTAGTCACCAGAATGGAGGTGTGCAAACAGTGGGTGGGTGGGT